TATACTTTAACTTAATAAAAAAATACTTTAGTCTATATATTTGTACCAGTTTACTTTTATGACTTATTTAAATATAAAAGCACACTAATAAGTTCAGAGCACATTAATAGGGACAGTTACCCTATATTATATTTTTGCAGTTAAAAGATTAATTCTCTTTCATCTTACTATATATGAAACACAAAATTTCCTTATTAATTAATGATTAATGAAAAACTAATGAGCTAGAAATTAATTAAATGAGTATTAATTTTTAATTAGCAATCTTTTTTTAGAAGCACTAAACTATCAACAAGATACTATTAAAAACCGTCAATTTTGAACAAATTTTCGTAATTATATCAATCAAAGCGAGCCTGGAAGAAGAATCGAAGAGTATCGATATTATCAACTATTGACATTTATGATGGCTAACATAAATGTATTTAAATAATACATTATTAAAATAATGATTTTTTTATTATACAAATGTTTCATAAATAAATATGTATACTTATATAATGCTGTGACATCTGCATAAATATATTACCACAAAATTATAATTTTTTCTTCTACTGTTATCATCTTTATGGATAATCAAACATGGATAATAACTATATAAAAATGCAATTTTAAATAGAATTGACTATTAACAAGTTGTAATATATGTGCACGTTTAAAAAACAGTAATCTAATAATATATTATAAAATTAATATTATATTACTGGCTAATAAGTAAAATTTTAACAGCCATGACTCTCATAAAAAGGTACCGATCTTTAATAGTATCTCGTCGGTGACTAAACGAAATATAGTTGCAAGCTCGTGAAGCACACGCGCAAATTTTACGCGACGCATCGACAGCGTTTGCGTAGAGAATTTCAAATCAGTTCTCCTGCAATCATCGGTCAATGATCCAAAGCGATTGTTATTTTACGATCGTTTGTTCGCACGCGGGACACACTTTACGCGTCTAGGGCCCATAGTTCTCGGACGTGTTTTAGCGTCTCCGGTACTACGACGTCGCATTTTGCGAGCAACACAGCACACGCACGCGGTTTGCCCTATTTCGTACTCGAACGACTTTCGCGCGTCGAAGAGCGCGAGAGAAACCTTCGACTTGAACATGAATCCGCGAGATTTACTGCAGACACTTATGCAAGCGGCAAATTATCCCTGCCGCGAGTAAATCAAGTCGCGTTGCAGGAATACCTCTTGTGCCCTTATAAACACACAGCCCGTTCTTCTATTAATTGTCTCGCGTCATAAGTTTGAAGCGTTTACGGCACTATATTTGCGCGATAATATTCGACAATAATTCTTAATATTCAAACAATTATTCTTGCAGTGAAACGAGAGAGAAAGAGATATTACTTTAAAACTTTTTTTTTAATGAAAAGTTAATTTTAAAGTGAGACAATAATTTTGTTGATAATTTTGGAAACGCATCTGATATTCAATAGAAAAATTTAACCGCGATTGGAGTCCCTGAAGTAAATTACTGATTTATGGCTGTTGGCTAGCACACAAGCGGATTATAACTACGTCATTTATATTAAGCACTTTCAGCGCTGATCTTCGCTATTACATCGCAAATATGTAATCGCGTTCTAAAATGATAACGTGATAGCGTCGGGACAAACATTAATGCTATTTGTGAGAACTTTTGACGAACTTTAACAACGACTTGCACCTTTTGACACGTTAGCGTGGTCTCGCCGCACTTTGAACTTTTTCAGGAAGGATTTCCATAATTCGCCGGCGCGGACGTATAAAGTTGACCGTCCGACCGCTTAAAACCTCAACGAAGAAAGTTATCCGAGCAACGAGCGAAGACGCGTCGCGCATATATTAGACGAGACTGTTTGCGACGCTGCGCGCTTTCCGCTAAGTTATACCTTATTCTTATGAATTTCTTGGCAAAGAGAATGTGTGTGTATGTGCGCGTACATGTATGTGTATGTATGTTACACGTGCATGTAATATCGAATACTCTTTCCATCAGGACTAAGGCGACATTGAGCCGTTCTTTTGTTACATTTTACGTACGTACATCATATAAAAGCTGTAAAACTTTTTGAGAGATGCATATGATTTTACGTTTCGTATAATACGCGAGTGAGTATATATGCGCACGTACCAAAACTTAGAATGTATACCCAAAAATTGTTTATTTGGAACACGTATTTGTTAAAGTAAAATTCTCTATGTAATAACTTGGCAAAAATCTATTTCTCTAAAATGAATGAAATAACATCACGTGAATATAAATATAAACACGATTTCGGAGTTGTTTATACAGCAACGTTCACAAGTCAATTTTTTTAAATTCTATATTGTAAAACCAAAAAAATGTATAAAAGTATAAATGTAAAGTATATAAATATTTAAAGTTTTGTTTTGTACGAAATCCGATTTTGTCGAGAAACAATTTCAGATTGAAAGAATTTGTATCATTCGGGAAGTCTAACAAATCCATATCTGAAATACATTTGTTCACATAAATAAAATATACAATATAAATTTGTTTTTTTTTTCTTTGCATCATCGTTTTATATTTAATTTATATACATAATTAAGTATCGCATGCTTTGATAATATCAATTATCGACTTTCCATCTTCTTAAGAACGTCTAGTTGATTTTTATATGTGTATAATTGAGCAAATTTAATTTATTTGAAGTCATTTTAAACGACGCCATTTGCCGCAAAGCAGAAATGATAATAGCACATAATAAATTTAATAAAATTTAATTAAAATATAAAGAAGTAGCAAACGTATGTTCACGTATGTTTCACGCATAATATCATTTGCAATATAATACTTGCAAATAGATAGTGCCGTTCTGTGTGTGTCATCTCGTTACTCCTTCTCGAAATGCGACCGCGATTATATTAGCTATTATTGATTTGCGTAATTAATTTCCACAATTAACGTTTCGTATTGAGACAGTGATTATTTATCGAAACGAGTACTTCATACATGTTTCGTTTCTTTGAAACAGAAATCAAAATTATAGAGAAAAATAAATTGTTCGCAGTTAAAGAAATTGTTCTTTAATTTCATTAAGCCTTGTGTCCACAATACTAGAAATCGGTCCAAGTTTTCGAATCGAGAACTATATATAGCCAATAAAATTGTTGCTTTTCCGTAAAAGTTGTAAGTTGATTGGCTACACAGTTCTTGGTCCGAGAACTTAGACCGATTTCTAATATCATGAATATAAGGCTTTAAAACTTGCGATAATTATTCTTTTAACAACGTTTGTATTCAATTTTTTTTGCATTAAATTTCTTGCCGACTCGGGTACAATTCGAATTAAGAGCGTGAAGTTAATTCGAATAACTCGATATCTGTAGTATATAGGGAAAGCGATACTTTGATTTTTAATACACATTTTTCATATTTACGAATTCAAAGTGTATTACACGCGTGGTAAACGAATTTAAATGAATTATAGACGATTTATTAAGCCTTAATTCATCATTAAATTGACTCGCATAATTTTTCGCGATATTCAAGAGAAATTGTTGATTTCATAGTTTCAAAACGTCACGATAGTGTAAAAACGAACTGAAAAAATTAATGTAAGGATCGAATGACATTTATTTAACATAAATTTATTTTATAATACTTAATTAGCTCGTCGTCGTTAATGCTAAAATATTAATCGACTTACAACTCACCCGGCGCGCGTGCCGTATTTTGCGGCTAATTGTAAGTCCGACGTACCGCTGTGTATGTATACTACATACATACACAATCGAGCGTTGCCACGTGTACAGTCACGGACACATCGGTTGCGACAGTTTCTTTTTTATAGGTTTCAAAACGCACTAATATTTTGCAAGTGCGGACCACGATTGGTGTTATACTGTCTCTAGACTATAAAGATAATACATCGTGGTTCGCATTTGCAAAATATTAGTTATCTATGAAATATATATTAGAAACCTATAAAAAAAAAGTGTCGCAACCGATGTGTCCACGACTGTACGCTCTGAGTCGTTATATTATCATTCGCACGGTAGCGCTCGAGTGAACAGGTAGTGCCGCTCGTCGCTTGTGTTTGTGTCACGTCTTGCTATTACTTTTCGAAACGCGATCGCGACGGGCGATTAAGAACGAATGCGATCACTCTCCGTAAATGATTAGAGATCGGATAACGCGCGCGGACATAAAACACGATTCGCTGCACGGAGTAATTACGTAATCGAACGCTGTGATATACATATCGATTGATTATTAATGTTACGTGTATTTCGCGTTCATTTTTGCGATGTACCACCGCGCGCGTGCATTATTGAATTCTGATTGTATATTTATAAACTATTCGATGGATCTTAATTGAATTGACTCGCGTGACACTTCGCGGGTATCAGAATGGAATTATCGAACGCAATCATTATATATATAGGTATATTAAGGTTTTTAGGT